CGTGGGTGGAAGGGTGGATGTAACAAATTTGCCTGTTTCAGTTTTTGATTGGTGTTACTGTGTTGTTGGGGGTTAGTGGTAATTGCGGGGGGGAGAGATAGCGGTTTTTTATTATGTGGGGGTTGCTCAAGAATCCCAGAGGGGTATTCGGCGCGCATTTGTTGGACCGAATGGGGGGAGGCTTTGTGGGGGCGATGGGGAGATGACTCGTTTTCTTTGAGGAGATTGCAGAGTGTCTGAGTTTATAATGAGTCTTAGGTGGTTCATGGGCTTTCAGGGTGTTTGTGAAGTGGTCTTCCCAAGTCTTTTGGTAGGCTATGATGGAGAGCACCGTCCACCAGACTCTCGGGTTTGTTAACATGGGTGTTAGTGTCCGGGGGCGTTGTTTTTGGGTTGAATGCGGTATTGTTATAACTTCTCGGGGTGTTTATGCTGGTTTTGATACTTTTTGTGCGCCCCAGGGAAAGGGACAGTAATTTTCAAGCTTTATGAAGCGTAGGTCAAATTATGAAAGATAAAAAAACGGGTGTAATAAGAATAGTGTCACTGGGGCTACGACCGTTGTGTCCTGTGAATTTAAGAATCACGGCCGGTGACGCTTGCCTTCCTTATATATTGCAGGTGTCATTGGGGGGCCTGCTGCTGTTATTCCATTGCCCCGTTATCACTGCACAATATGTACTAGGGTCTTGGCCTCCAAACATGTGGTAATCTGGATGAATGTATAAGTTCTAGTGGGCTCGCCTGAGTCAGCTTCACCAAGTCCCCAGACATTGCAAATGATTTGGGGTGGGAGTGAGCAAGTTAAGATGGTAGACGGGTCTCTCTCTTGCTCTCTTTCTCCTCCCCACCCTTGTATGAAAGTATGATTTCAATTGAGTTACTCATACATTTAAACTATAGGTGGCAAGCATCTTGGCACGAGCTGAATAACCCCACTTGCAGGCCTGCTTTACCGTGCTGATGGCAACCATAGGGTTGTAACCCATAGAAATTGCGAAACGTTCTATGGCCTGTATCTCCCTGCTTGCTGGCTGGGAAAAGCAGTGGACAATGGCTTGAGTGTTGAGACGTGCACATTGTGAACAATCCACATGTAGTTTCTCCTGATGGAAACTCATGATTGTTGGGTGTGGCCTCAACTCCAATTGCTGTGGTGATTTGGAGAGTGAATCAATGAATGGAAACCTTCTCTGTCTCTCCTTTTCTTTGTGTAGGTCTGCCATTTCAAATAGAAATGGATAAGTATTTTTAAAATTAAATAAATAAATAAATAGTAATACAGTTCACAAAGTCTACTTCTGACTGTCAGATACTTCTCCCATGTTGTTGCTTGAGTCTTGGTGGTGAGTGGCAGAGGTAGGAGTAGATCCAATCAACTCCAAGGAACCTGGACCCTCTGAGATCTACTATCATCAAGCTGCCTTCTGCTCATTAGTGCAGGTTCAGTGTAATTAGGATCAAGAAGTTTCTGGACTTGACAGTTAAGAGCACAGCAGGGAGAGGGCAGAGCTGGTCCCAGGGACCCAGAGCATGCAGAAGGAGCCAAACTCATCACACTGACATGCTGACATCAGTGACAGCATCCCTGAGTGCTGGGGCTCAGGCAAGGATAAACAGTCCTGGCTGTGCTGCTCTGCCACAGCCCTGCAGACTGCACAGGTGAGTGAGCCCCAGTGTGTGTGTGTGCAGGGGTAGCTGCCTTTGCTCTGGAAGGGAAGCTGTTCCAGATAGAACTGGTCAGGGCCAGGCTAGGTGAGGAAATGTCTTACCCTCCCTGTCTCCTGTGGAAGATGAAGATGTGAGTGCCCTGGGAGAGGGTGGCTATCACTTTCCAGTGCAACCAGCAGCACCTGCTTGTGCGGCCCTGGAGGGAGATTCTGTGCAGCAGAGCCACTGATGCCCTGAGGCTGAGGCTGCTGCATTTCCCAGGTGTGAGGGAGACTGGGGGCATCAGGCAGCAGTGGGCTGTCAGCCTGGGTGGCTTCTGGCTTTTCTGCAATTTGCAGCTCTGGGACTTTTGTTTTTGTCTTGTTTTCACTTCATTTGTCTCTTACATCAGGTGTTTTGGTGCCCTTCATTCTTTTAAGCATGGGATCTTCTTAACCTCTTCATCTGGTATCCTAAGATTTTGACATTTGTTTTGCACATTTGCTTTAAACTGACACTCCAGCTTTTTAAACACAGTACAAGACACTGTTTTAGAAAATTGTGGAAACACTGGAGAAAGAATAGCTGTGAGGAGCATAAAAAAGTAACACCAATTATTGCCATTTAGAAATTATTCCTGTTACTAGGAACAGACAAAAACACCCTTTGCCTGTGTCCTTGCTCCTCACTGTAGACTGGTCCAGGACAAAGTCCCGACTGGTTTTTACCGTGTGGTTGATCTTACAGAGGTGGTGTGCACAAAGACATTGGGGAGGTCTGGATCTGAGCTTCAGAGTAGCCAATTGCAAAGCTTTTTGACTCTCTGCACTGTCACACCATCGAGACCCAATGACACTGAATAAACTAAATCACTGGAGTGAATCAAGATATTCTTTATAAACAATTTCTGTGTCTTATCCAAACATTTAAGGCATCCATGACCTGCTTCATTTACTAATTAGATCTATTTTGTATAATTGTGATTTCTCAATTATTAAATCATTTATGGAGCCTGTAAAAGAGGAAGGTATACTAGAAGATGCAGTTGTGGCTCAAGTTGTGCCCACTTTAAAATGAAGAAGCAGAGACCCAGGGAAGGAAGCCTATGGTCCCCAAATTAAGGAACAGGTACCTACCAGACCAAGGATGTAAACCCAGGCTCAGCCAAGGGTGCTGCACTGACACCTCTCACATCAGTTACTGTCTCAGGGTGTCAAGGGGACTGGGCTCTCAGGCTTACCAGCGGAGATATCCTTGGAAACACCGGTAAGTTACAAACAACAAATCTCAGGGTTGTATTTACAAGGAAAACTTTGTCTTTATTGTCAATTATCTCTTTGCTTGGCTTCCAACTCAAGCAGATGCTTGACTTTTAATTTCAAAGCTGAATAGTCAAATGACCCAAAGACAGTTTAAAGCAAAAAGCCCTTTAGATCAGAAGTACACATTCTCCTGTTACAAACAGAGCCTGCAATTTTAATCCAATGAGGCATGTGGCCTGCTTTCCTCTTCCCTTGCCTCCCTGCCGCTGGTAAGACTGGACACTGTTAGGCACAGCTGAGTCTGTCAGGGAGTTTGCAAGGTCTTCCCTGACATGCATCCTGGGCACTTCCAGTTGCAGTTCCCTCCAGGCAGGCCTTCCCTCTCACTCAGCGAGGCCACTTTTGAAGCCTGCACAAGATGTAGGCTGTGGATTCGCAGCTGGGATGCATTCAGCACAGTGGACCCCAAGGTCCCTGCTGCACTGCAAAGTGCATTTCCTTCTAGTTACCTCTATTTCCTCAGGTGCAAATGGCCTGACCAGTGTCTTGTCCAGCATGGCACCTGCATGATTGCTGAGAGGCCTCTCCCACGCTCGGAATTAAGATAAGACACCCCCTTCATTCTTCCCACTTGGCCAACTTTGAAAGAAAACTCCCCACAGCAATATCTTCTCCGAATGGCCTATAATCCCAAGTCCCTGTAACACTGAAAAAGTTGGGACTACATTATAAGTTCACAGGATCCAAGAACCGTAAAACTGAGTCTGCCCAAAAGGAAATCAGAAGATTGGCACATATCTGTGTACCCTAAAACTCTGTATTTTTTTTATAATGAGGTTTTACTTATTTATCTGTGTCTTAAATGTTCTAAATAGGCAGACAAGATTGAATGCGTTAACCAGGTAAAATGTGATGTTTTGAAGTCTGTGCATCTTGTGAAATGACTAAATCTGGCTAATTAACATGCACATTACCTATAGGATTTCCTTCAGTTCTGAGATCGTGCTACACGAAGTAGTCACAACACTCTGTGTGATATTTGAACACCAGTAAAAAGTGCCAGAACACAGATAAATGGTTAAACCTAGCAATTGCCAGTTGGTATAGTGGTTAAGATGCTGCTTGGGACACATGCATCCCATAACACAGGGCTTGGGCTTCAATCTTGGCTCTGCCTCCTGCCCAGCTGCACTTAAGGAGTTGCATGCTTGCCATGTAGGTGAAAAAATCCAGATTGAGTTTCTAGCTCCCAGGTCACCCTCAGATGTTGCAGGCATTTGGAAAGATAGGGAATCTCTCTCTCTCTCTCTCTCTCTCTCTCTCTCTCTCTCTCTCTCTCTCTGCCCAAAACAAAAACAAAAGGCACATGCACTCACAATTATATCCAACTGATGTTAGGAGAAATATCCCAAGAAGGGTAACATGAATGATACTTATTTTTAAAATATTTGTGTAACTTATTTGAATGGCAGACCTACAGAAACACACACACATGGAGAGAGAGAGCGAGAGAAAGGAGACCTTCCTGTTAGAGGTTGATGGGTATTTTCTTTGGACAATTTTGCAGAGAAGGTGCCATGAAGCCATGAAGCACCTGCAGACCACACTCAGCACACTCTGGGAGCGAGCAAAGACCACTAAGGCACTCTGAATAGGGAACTCACAGTGCTCACAGCAGGGCGGAGCTGAATGGATATGCAAGCGGTAAGGGAAGGCATGCAGGATTACAAGGCAGTAACTGACAGTGTCTCAGGGAATATGTGAAGAGAGGCAGGATTGCTACACGTGTGAACATGCAGGTACGTGGAAGGTGATGTTGGCAGGATCAATTAAATCGTGAAAGAGAATGTCTAGGCATGTGGATTTTAAGGTCACCATCTTCCATAAATCATTAGGGCAAAATATAAAGTGGCACACAGAGCAGCGACAGTGAAGCACACGCTCAACCATGTAGATCTGTGAACTGCAGTGTTCTTGGTATTCTTCACATTCTAGCAGATGAGATGGAAGCCACAACTGAAGCATGTGACCTTTGCTCATTTGTCTTTCTCCAAAAGTTTTCCCTGCTCTGGTCCATGAAGTTGCAGGATGACCTGGAGTCTCATCCAGAGAGCGATCTTCCTTTTTCTCATTGGACTTGGATTTGGAGGAAATTTCTTTCTGTTTGTGAAACATGTGCACATGGTTGCCATGGGTCCTGAGGGAAAGCCTACAGACATTATTCTCATCCACCTGGCTTTAAGTAACATCGTGATACTCTGTGCAAGCATAATGTCAGGCACATCATTAGCTTTTCTTCTCAGTAACTTCCTAGGCAATATTATTTGTAAAACTGTGGTTTATCTGAATAGGGTGGCTCGAAGTCTCTCCATCTGCACCACCTGCCTCCTCAGTGTTGTCCAGGCCTTGACCCTCAGTCCCAGGAACACCTTGTGGAGAAAGCTCAAACCACGCACTGCATGGCAGGTTCTTCCCTACCTCCTCACCTTCTGGGTCTTTAGCTTTCTCATAAGCTCTAACTTGCTCCACTACATCACAGCAGTCAACAGCACGGATGAGTCTCGATTTAGAACATACATTGGATTATGCTACATGCTGCCAGCTCCACAAATCATCAGATGGCTCTTCCTCTGCCTCATGACTCTCCGGGACCTCACCTTTCAGAGTCTGATGGGCTGGAGCAGTGGGTACATGGCTCTCTATCTGTACAAACATCATAGGCGTGTCCTCTACCTCCAGAGCTCCAGGTTTGCCAAATATCCCAGCCCAGAGATCAGAGCTACTTGGAGTATTCTCATTCTCATGGCCTGTTTCCTGCTCTTTTATTGGGCAGATTTTATTTTTTCCTTCTACTTAGGATCCATCTGCATAGAGGCCTTCTCTTTTTCAAATATCCAAATGTTCCTAGGACTGGGTTATGCCAGTCTCAGCCCCTTTGTTCTGATCAGCAGGGATAGTAACCTGGTTAACTGCTGGTTTATTCACTGAGAATTAGGGAAAATACTTTCCATAGTAAATTTTCTAGTAACAAAGGGTATCATTATTGATTTTTTTTAATGCAGCAAAACTTTTGTGAACCCAAATTAAACATGTTTTGTATGAATGGTGTCTTTGGAGGCAAGCGCAAGACAAAATCAAATCTACTCAGGAAAACTATAGAGAAAACTATAGACTACAATACTAGTGTGATTGGAGGGATGGATCGCATGCATGAGAGACAGGAGAGAGTGAGCATGTGTCAGACCCATGACATGGAATGGGCCTCGCACAGGAACTCTAGGGACTCCCATGCTGGGCTGCAGCTCCTCCTGGTGAATGCAAGAGACTAGACTGAGCAAGGCTGTAGCACCATTGACATAAGTGTCTGCTGGGCCTGGGGGCAGACCAGACTGGGCTAGGCTCCAGACCTTATTGGTGATTAACAGCCAGAATAGGTGTGGGACAGGCCAGATAGGCCATGATGCTTGCCAGGTCATATGAGAGCCAGGTCTGGGGGTGGGCCAAGCTGGACTAGATTGTAATACTCACCAGTGAGAGCTGGAATGGGTGTAAGTTAGTCGGACTAAGCCTCAATACCCACCAGTGAGTGCCAGGATTGGGGGCTGGCCATGTTAGTTTGAGTAACAGCACCCACTGGTACATGTGAGATCCATTGCTGGGGACAGGCCTAGTAGGGGAACTTGGAGAATTTATCTGCTGGAGAGCATGAGAGCTGAAGCTAGAGATAAGCCAGGTCAGATTGGTGGCAACATCCATTGGCATTCATGTGGTCTGTGTCTGGGGACGGTTTATGCTGGGCAAGACCCAACAGGAGTGACAATCAAGTCAAGGTTCAGGCTGGGACAGATTGGACTGCAATACCTCCCAGCTCACACCTGAGGGATAGGCCAAATTGGATTAGGTTGCTGCACCTGCTAGTGAGAGCTGGACTGGGGGCAGGCTGAGCTACATCAGGCTGCAGTACCTGTTAATGGATGCCAAGAATGGGAGGAGCCATCACAGACTGGAATGCAGCACCTGCTGGCATATGCAAGATCCACAGTTGAGAGCACACCTAGTAGGGGAACCTCCAGGACTTCCCTGCTGGCCCACTGCTTCCAGTTGTGAGTATGAGAGCTAGAACTGGAGGGGGTCAATGTGGGGGTGGACTAGGTTGGGCTGGGCAGCTGAAAACTCTGGAGCACAGAATAGGTGTGGGTTAGAATCACATATGGCTTGACCATAGTACAAAGAGTCAGGCACAAGACCTGGGGCTGAGAGCATGCTTGGCAGGAAAACTGCACACTCTACTGCTGAGCTGTACCTAGTGGTGGTGAGCATGAGAACCAGGGCTGTGGGTAAGCCAGGCTGGACAAGGCAGTTGCATCTGTCAGCAAACTGAGGGCCAGATCTGGGAGGAGGACAAGCTGAGTTGAGCTGCAGCACATATGGTTATTTACAAGAGCTGGATGGGATGCAAGTTGAGCCAAACTAGACTGCAGCAGAGGCTTATACATGCAAAAACCAGGGCTGGTGGTGGAGCTGGTGAGAGTTTTCAGGGACGGCCCCAACTGGGTCACAGCACATCATGTTATGTTTGAGCACAGGTCCTGTATCAGGCTGGCTGGGCTGGAACACAGCACCCATTGGTTTGCATGAGGTTTTGGGCTAGGGCAGAACTAACCTGGCAGTTGCATTCTCTGTGCATTGGCATGTGACAGACAAAACCTGATCCTGCACTGGCTGGCATATACAGGAGTCAGAACTGACATCACCCCAGACGAGATTTCTTGGGGGTCTGCTGGGATCAGACCTTCAGCACAAGGAAAAATAGCTGAATACATGGCCTGATTTTGGAGTACATGTGGCCTGGGAAAGCAGTCAAGGACAGCCCAAAACTTTGGGATCCTGCACCTACA